ACATGCACACACACTCATACATGTGTGTGTGTGTGTGTGTGTAAAGCAAAAATTGATTCTAGTGGTGAAGGCTTATGCAGAACCAACCACAATTTTTGGAAGAGACAAATACAGATAACAAGTGCTCGGTATGCCTCAAGGGCCCCAATATATATAAAGCAAAAAGTACAGAAATTTGAAAGATCAAATAAATTAAGTAATTCTCTCATATTATCCCTTTTTCCATTTATTTATCTTTAAAGAGATTCAGAAAAAGTTCAAGTTGACTCTGTCTTCAGATGAAGCAATCCAAAAATATTTTAATCTGATAACCAATGATATCCACTCCCCAAACAGTCTTTCCTCATTGCTCTAAAATGTGTTAAGAGTATACATTGATGTCTACCATAAAACCTAAGGAAACTAGTCAATATCTACCTTTAAAAATACAACCTAGATTTTTGTGCCTCCATTCTTATAAGTTACTTCTCAATAATTAGCAATCTTCATTTACAATGCCTTTTTGCAGGGAAGAAAAGAATCTGGAGATAATCAGCTGAAGTTAAAATAATATGCTGCCTTTTTAAAAACATAACAAGTATTTGGTTTTTAAATTTTCTTTTTGACATTGTTTATAAACATAGCAAATGACAGGTTGACAGGAGATATATTTGCTGTTTAACTAACAGCTAACTTTGGTGTATTTTCTCTTTGCCTATCTCTCTTCTGCATTCCTCTCTATTTTCCTCTTATTCCCTCTCTGAGAAAGCTTAATTGTGCTTAATGTTTATATCTCTTGTCGGAGTTAACTCCTCCTTCAGTTCGTAACCCTTTCACCAGGGGTCTCTCTTTCCTGGCTATAAATAGCCAATGACCTTTCGCCTCGATCTCTTTTTTCCTTTTAGGCCTGTGCACTGACACCTCGAGGTAAATTTCTCTTATTCCTAGAGGATTTTCAGCTATCAACCTCGAAATGTAGTCGCTAACAAGTGATAGCGTGGAAACACGCTAAGCACATATTCACACACGCACACACATACAGAATATTCACACACACTTCGTCCTTTGTACTGTTTCCATGTATTGTAAATTGTTAATAATATATATTTGTATATACATATATTATCGGTCTTGTTTTGTTTGCTTTCTTTTCCTTCTTCTTTGGACTTAATCAAAGTCCAACCTTTTTATGTAGTTGGGCTCGGCGGGCAGGAGTATCTGAACCTTGCGTTTCTTCTACGTCTGACTTCTATCAACAACAAGTGGCAACTGCCATTCCCACAACAAACCGTAACCACCACGGGCCCACTACACTCTCTATATAATCTTTTCTCTCTTCTACTGAACTCTCTTTATTCTTTCTATCATTAAAATGCATCATCTTATTTATAATCTTTCTACCTTTCTTTCATCCTCCCTCTTCCTCTTCTTATCATTCTCTTATTCTTCCTGAACTTTTATTTTTTAATATATTCACCTCTTGTCACTTTTTTCTTCATTTTCTCTTCCTACTTTTTCATCTTCCTTTTCATTTATAGGAATTTAAAAAAAAAAAAAAGAAGTTATTTTAAACCGGAAAGTTATCAATCTAGTAAAATTAATCTGTAGAGTCAGTTTCAATTGACAAGAAAGAATATTACAGATCACAGAATAACAGACTTGCTTGAGGGTAAATAGTCACTCATTTAGAATAATCTTTATCTTGCAGGAACTCATTTTTTAATGAAATATTTGCACTTGTATAATTATTTGCTAAACTCAATTTAGTCTGACACAAGGCCAGTAATGAATTTAGACTATTTTAGTTAGCCAATTTGGCCAAATCGTTATTTACTAAACATAGACCTTTATTATAATAGACCTTTATTATAATAGCAAAAAAAAAATGTATCATGTTATAAAATCATCTTTTTTTTTAATCATTTAACTTTTCTTTTTTGTTATTTTGATGTGCCAGGTGTGAACATCGACTATTGATGCCTGCAAGAAATAAGTACCTATTTTAACGACTCGCGTCTTAATAGCCATTCAAATAGTTTAGTTTAATAGTGCACAAAAATAAAAAAAATAATTGGGATAGGGAAATTGTGTTGCACCAGCCTTTTAAGTAAAAAGAGTCTCTTTGTTGTTTGCCTTGAAAATCAGCATTTAAATTCAAGGTTTTTCTGAGCTTAAACATTGACCATTGGTGTTCATAGGAAATAAGCAATTATTTTAGTCATTATGATTAGCTTAGTAGAGCACAGGCCTAAATGGGGCTGATATGAGGATAGGAAGATTGTGTTGCATCAAAATAGGGAAAATCTGCATGTGTACTTTAAAAATCAGTTTCAAAATATTGGCTTCTTACCTGGGCGTGAACATTAACTGATAACCATGAGATATAATCAATTATTTCCATTATGTATCAGGTGCAAATGGATAATAAGTAAGAGTTATAAATTGATCCAAGTATTATGTATTTGTCACTCCTATTTATTCTCTTTGGTATTGATTTTTCTTTTAAACGTCAGAGAAAGAATTCTACTCACTTTTTGTGTACAATGGGTCAATTTAAATTCTGTGATAACAAGAACTACAAAAATAATGTGTTTGATTGTTCATAATAACATCTCTGATTACACGATAGAGAAACCTAGTGTCTGTATCAATATTTACAAAACAGTTTGACGCAAAGGTAAAAAAGTTTTTCACTCAATTAGGATCAAAGTCACTACAGTAGTAATGATCTGAGAGACTAGATTGCTAACAAGTGCTTTATGGTGAGATGCCCTTATTGATATTTACTAATCTCAGTTTATTATGGCACAAGGCCAGAGTAATAGGGCATCCAGTGAGGATCAAACTCACTACAGGAGTAATGGTCTGTGAGACTAGATTGCTAACCATTGCTCTATGGTGAAGTGCCCTTATTGATATTTACTAAGCTCAGTTTATTATGGTGCAAGGCCAGAGTAATAGGGCATCCAGTGAGGATCAGACTCACTACAGTAGTAATGGTATGTGAAACTAGATTACTAGCCATGCTAACTACTAGGATCTGAAGGCAATGAACACAAGATGTATTTGTTCCTGGATTTTTCCTGAAATTATCTGTGGTAGAAAACCATATTCATAGTGAAATTTTTGGCACAGAATTTGCAAAGATTCAAGGCAGAATCTCTCCACAATAACTTGGGACTGCTTCAGTCTTACTCAAGTGAAGGACTTCATGACAATGCTGGGAGGGGAAATACTGCAATAATTGCAATTGCTCCTGTTGACCACTTTTTGTAAAGGGGGATGATGTGGGTGTCTCTTATGTTTTTTGGAACTTCACCTTCTCTCCAGCAGAAGTACAGAATCTAGTGTAGCTTAGTGAAGATGATTCTTCCTTTGCAACATTTCAAACAGGGATGCCATCTTTTCCTGGTGTTTTTTGTCAATGACAAGGTATTTAAGTGCCTCATAATGTACTTTGAGGTTAGGTTCTTTGTCAAGCTTATGTAACACAGGTAAACACTCATTGAGGTCTTTGATAACATTTTCCCATGCATAAAATACAATTGCTCTACCCAGCATAATTTGCTGTATTCTGTCAAGTAGTTGACTCCACAAACGGGTGACTTTCTTCTGGGTGGGACTCTCATTGATTCCTTTGTATATCTTTGATGTTGCCTGCTGTATATAGAAACAGAACTGGAGCCAGTAGTCATTAATATATTGTTGGACTTTGTTGTGGATTGTAGGTTCTTTTCATTGGGGATTTCCTTATATACTGCTAGGTGTTAACAACTGATATTATCAATTATCTTGTGTTTCTGTTCTTCTCTACCACTTTGCTTGTATCTTCTCATTATCACCCTTATCCTTTCCAATTTTTGTTATCAATGTTTTTATCTAAATATTATATAAACATGGATTAATTCCATATTAGAAGACATAATAAGGAATGCACAAATATTTTCATGCTTTCTCTCTCAAAAAATTTTTAGTGTACATTAAAATTACAATTTTTATAGCTTTTTATCCCCACTACTTTTCCCTCTTTTACTCATTGTCACTTTATCATTAACCAGAAAGTCTATCTTTCTCACTTTTCCTCTCCATCTCTATCCTTCATCCTTATATGTATATTTTTCTTTTTCATCTGGTTCTCTTTTTGCTTTTGTTTTTTATTTTCCCTGTAGGTGTTTTTTTTTAACTCACATTTCCTCTTTTAGGCTGTCCTTTCTTTCTCCCTTTTCCCAATTCTTTCCTACAGATAATATTATGTAGCTTTCTTGGTCAGAAGACATAACTCATCATAGCTCAGCAGGACAAGAGATTGATCAGATACTATGCTCTGATCCTAAATAGAGAAACACAACAGTCATACATACAAAGAGAATAACATTATAAATAATCAGGATTTGACTGAACAAATCATTGTCATATTTTATTACCTTTATTCACATATGTATTTATCATCTGCGAGAAAGTCTTTTGTTAGAAGACTCAAAACAGCTATAGCCCTTTTGGAATAGGAGTAGAAGTTTATCCCTTGTTTCCTATTTAGGACTGGGTTCCTGGTTTCTTCTAAAGTCAACTTCAACTCTATACTTCTGACATCTCTCCTTAAACTCTGACATTTTATTTATTTATATATTTTTCCTCAATAGGAGGAGATAGGTTTGCCTACCATCCAGTTTACACTCTTCTCCAGTCTTTCAAACAGGAGTTGAGGTTTATTCCTTGTTTTCTGCTTAGGACTGGATTTCTGGTTCCTTCTAAAGTCTACTTCAACTCTATACTTCTAACGTCTACGTCTGAACTCTGAAATGTTATTCACTAATTAAATCTTGACCTCTTTAAGTCTAGAGTTATCTTTCCTGCATAGCCGCAACATTTTGTTCTTTCATATGCTAATACAAGTCCACACAATAACCCTTTAACTTGAGTGGCTCTTGGGTCTTGTATTGGATGAACATTAATGAAAAAAACATTAATGAAAACATGTTGTAAAACATTTCTAAAAATACTGTTTTATTCATTTCTTTCAGAACATTGCAAAGTGCAGCTGGATAAATATGTAAACACATATTTCACCAATGTCAAAGTAATACGTGCCAAACAACGAGAAGGTTTAATTCGTACACGTCTTCTTGGAGCCAAGGTAGCCACTGGGCAGGTTCTTATCTTTTTAGATTCTCATGTTGAAGCTAATGTCAATTGGTTGCCGCCATTGCTTGGTAAGTCACTTGATATTGCTTGGATATTTTTTCTTCCTTTCTTTTAAATTAAAACATAAAATAAGTTTCTTACTCTTTTTTTTTTTTTTTTTTTTTTTTTAAATTGGTATCACCCCATGCAAGGCAGTAAATCCACTAAGACAATGGTTTACTGGGTGTGGGAGAATTAGAAACAGAAACATTAATAATAGGCAGGAAAAGGAAAGTGTAATCAGGAGGACAGTAGATAGCAATTGACATTGCATTTAAATTTCTGCAGATTAAAGTTGACTGGAAAGCATGGAGCTAGAAGGTAGTTCCACAAGCAAGAAGTGTAAAAACAGAAAATGTTAGCATAGAATTTATGGCTACATCTAGCCAGCTGAACTGTAAATTGATGACATTTCAATGCCATTCTAGTACCTTGCTTAAATTCAAAATGTCTATGTACCATAGCGAAGAGCTCATCTGAATAATTACCATGAAAGTATTTATAGAAAAAGACACATAGAGGCAATCTTACAATAGTGGGAAAATGACTGAATCTGAGTTGCCAGATCAGGGCCAATAATATTGCTGATTTTTCTTTGGATTTTGTCAAGGAGCTCAAGGTTAAAAGCAGAGGCTTAACTGAATTCCTAAAATATAAAAAAATCATCAATCGGGAATATTTTCATGCAGCATTTAGCATGCTAGTGAACTAAACCTACATATGAAAATTGTTAATCATTCACCTGTATTTATAAAGGATTCACCTGTATTTATAAATCTTACTTTTAAAGAAGTGCTTTGCAAAGATTTCTTTGAGAATAATCCTGAACACAAAATTTTTATGGCCTGGAAATCATCATAATTTTAATGTTTTGTTTGATTCATTTCATAAATTCTACTAAATTTTCTATTAGTTTAACAATCAATAAATGTTGATATTTTGTCTGTTGATTAAAGGAATTGAAAAACACATTTTTATATAAATGCATCACACACACACACACACACACACACATATCACAGCAATACAAGAAATAAGAAATTCTATTGTAATCATATCAGGCTCCAGTTATCATGTTATAAAATACTTTAATATATCACTTTTTATACAATTATGGATGTTTTATTATTTACAATTATTTTTCTGTTCAAGAGTTTTGCAGTGGTTCTATTTTTTTTACCTTTAACATTTTTTTCCAAAATCTTCAGGCAGTATCTTTACATTTTCAATCTAGGTCATAACCATTGGTTTGGGAATCAGTGTTGAAAGAAAACTGGTTAGTTTTCTTGTGAAAATACATGTTCTTTTGTGGGGTGGCTTTTGAGGACATGAAATGCAAATATGAAGTCTGTCATAAAAATAAAAAAATAAACTTTGAAGTTTATCAAAATTCAATTAATAAATGAAATGGGATAAATTTTATATAATACTCAATGTCATCACCTACCATAGAACATTACAAATGAAGTCATTTTTCTTGGTTTGTTTATAAAAGTATATACACATAAAACAGCTGAAATAAATAGAATCATGGGCAAAGGATCTATAAAGAAAATGCCTATAATTGCAAAGTATAAAATTTCTAAAATAAGAGCAAAAGAAACTATGATCAAAGGAGGTGTGCTTGGTATAGCAGTTGTTGGCATGGAAAGTGGAATCAACTTTCTAAGTTCAAATTCCAACTTGGCCTACTGTGTTCACAACATCTTTTGGGGAAAAGTGTGAATCCAACTCTTCTATACCTCAACTATAGTTTAAATGGTGAGCTAGACTGGCACTCAAGCCTTGGAAGGCAACCTGTCTAAGTGATGGAAAACTCTGAATTCAAAATCATGGAGAAAGCAACAGGAAACCACCCTACTATCATTCCCAAGAAAAAATGGCAATTCACGGATAATAAAGAAACACAATATGTGGAGAAGGCAACAGTAAACCACTCCACTATCCTTCCCAAGAAGGAATGGCAATTCACAGATAATAAACAAAAGGAATCTATGAAGATTTATGATTACTCAAAGGAACAGGACAATTAAAGAAAGAGATCCAAGAATTTTGGAATTTTGTGTTGAATGGCTTACCCTACTCTCTTGATGAAATAAAGGTACTTATGACTTATCTGCCATTCACATTATCCTTGAAATGTGCAATCTCATACATAAATTTTCTCAGACCTGTCACTTTTTGAAATTTGGAACATTTTCAGATGTTGGAATGACATTAAGATATCAAATACATAGATAATACAACTGCTTAAGAAATGGTAATGTAATTGTAGAAAACATTAATATAGACACTGATTGGAATAAAATAAGGCAGTAAATAACACAAAATTGTATTGTTAAATGGAACAAGGTAAAGATTGACTATAAAATAATCAGCTCTCCCATTTCTTATTTCAAGCCACTTTCCATTATACGACCTGCACACCTGACCATTTAGTGATCAAGAATGAATAGTTACAGTCTACTGAAAGCAACTTAATTGTTTCCTTTGTTAAGATTTTTATATATTAAAAGCTTTTACATTGTTAATGTAATGTCTTTCCCTTCTATGTTTTCCCTAGGCATTAATAAATAACTTATCATAATGGTAATGGTAATATTAGCTGTTTCCTTATAAGGAAACATTCAGCATTCATTGACCAAGGAGCTTGTACTACTGTCAGTTGAAATTTATAAAACAGTTTTTCAGGAAAGTAAGTTTCTCAAGTCCAGTCGCTATTGTTGTTAATTGTTGTTTCTGTTGAATGTTCTCAAGTGATGTGGTTTCTGTTATTTGGTACAGTTCTTTGGGATTCTGTAGCACCAGTTCACAAGGTTCAAAGAAATGAGGTTTTCACCAAGATACATAGGCTTCACTTGTTCAAAGCCATTTTTAATAATTGATCTTAGAAAACAGTTGTATACAGCTGAGAGTTTAGATATTTTTGAATGAGTTTGATGCCATGCATATGAAAGTCTTGATCTGATTAGATTATTTAAGAACATGTCTTGAGTTTTCAGGTTAATATTTTGGTTTTATAGCTGTTGGCAGTGTTGAACAATACTACCTCTGACACAGCTTATTCTATGTACAATTTCCTTATCTCCTATATTAAATTTATTGTAACTGAACCATATAGCAAGATATTTGAAGTGTTTAGTATTTACTAAATCCACATACTCAATTTTTATGTTTCAGGGTAGTTGCTATCACTACTTTTATTCCAATACCAGTTCATAGTTTCTGTTTTGGAAAGGTTTATTTTGAGTCCTATTTCTTGGAACACTTGGTAGAGAATGTTGATTTCCTGTTCAAAATCATTCTTATCCCAACTATGAATACCTATGTTGTCAACCTAATATCATCAGTACATTAGCCTTGGGAATGAAAGCAGGATCATTGTCTTTTATTAGATTCATTTGATATATGGTATGAAATGCTTAAATGATCAGTACCCATCTCTTCACATCCATGCTTGTAAATGTGCGGGGTATAGTCTAGGAATAGATTAAATAGCCTGGGACACTCATTTCCTCCTTGTTTTACTCCTAGAAGGGTTTGAAATATTTCTGTATTGGGGTCCTCTCTTCTGTGGACCAATAAAGTTAATCTATTAAATTTATGCATTCAGTGGATTTCGAATTTGGAAGGTGGTTTCTAACAGAGGAAAAAAGGAAGTCATATGCCACTGTGAGGTCAAAATAGGTTCTTCCTATTCAGTTATAACAAAAAAAAAATATAAATTTTACAGTTTGTACGTTTCAATACTCTATAACATCTGGAATCATTTTCTTTTGAAACATTTTAACCAAATGTGTTACATATACATTAGATGAGATATCTATGCCTCTGAGAGAAGAGTATATGTATTCATTCATGTCTGAGTGATTTTATAAGAATGCTTCTACAAGAGAGGTAAATTAATCTGATAATTTGGTTTATTATGAAAGTAACAGGCTCCTACATTATTTTAAAAAAACAAAAAATATTTTTATCTTTTGTAATCACTGTGTAATAATATTTTTTTGTTGTTATTTTTATAAAGGCACCTAAAATTTTTGTTAATGCAAAAAACATTTTAAAAAATTTAATCTGTAAAGTAAAAATTAAAAAATTGGATAAAAATGGAGTACGAAAAGGACAGTTTTTCCATTGCCACTTTTTTTAATTTTAACCACCTTCTATCCTTGGCAATGTTTATTTTAAAAAGTGAGGTTTAGAATCATAATAAAACTTAAACATATGATGAAGGTGAATATTAAGTATATATTTATTAGACTGTTTATTTACAAGAATAATTTTATATTTACAACATGCTAAAAACTAATACAGTTAAAGCTAATGCAATGCCATATTTTTCATTTACCAATTTATAAAGAAATAAGTATGAAAACAATTTTTTTATTTATAAACATTTACTAAATTATTAAGATATTGAAACCAATTATAAGGAAATGTTTATTATTTATCATTTTATAAAGTTTGAATAAATTGACAATTATCCAATGTTTTTCCAATCATTCCAATAAACAATATAATAAATTGTGTTTATTAATTTTCTTTTCCATTCTCACAAACAACAAAAAAATGTATAAATTCACTTTATATGTTTAGGTTTTATTAAAATTCTAATCATTTCTTTTTAAAATAATAAACATTGCTGGGGAGTAAAGATAGTCAAAATGATAGTGATGTCAACCGAAAAACCATCTTTTTGACACTTTGTTTTGTTTGGGCATGAAGATCCAAGTTTGCCAAATGTTGGTTCTCTAAAACCCATATAACTTGTCTTTCTTGATATTTGCATATTAGAAAACAGGCAAGTATTTAGATTTAATCAAAGGCTCTTACCTAAGTAAAATAAAAGCAGGTATTACTTTTAGAAAAAAGGTATTTTCCAGCAGTCAGCTCTGGCAGTTGGACTTATTCTTGTATATGATTGTATTACTGTTTTTCTATTAATATATTTGTTGACTCAATTCTTCTCTTTGTCTTTATTTCTGGCCCCAACAAGGCCACAACAGAAAGTATAAATCCACTTCTTCTCCCCTCAGCTATTGGTTAATTAGTAGGCTGTTTATCAGTAAATCATTATTGTCTCAAAAAATTCTTACTATCTGAAAATATTTTCTGGCTTTAAATAACCTGCACAGGTTTGATAGGTCATAAAAAACAAATCAGACAATCAAAAAAAAAAAAAAAAAAGTTATGTAATCTACTATTTTTTAAACAAAAAACTTGAAAAATAAACCCTGTTCATCTAGCATTGCCATAAATCCTTTTACATGGTTTTACCTTCAAGTAATTTGAATGCATTTTTTTTTCTTCTAGAACCAATTGCTGAAAATTGGAAAACTGTTGTTTGTCCATTTATTGATGTCATTGATTATGAAACATTTGCATACCGTGCACAAGATGAAGGTGCACGGGGAGCTTTTGATTGGGAAATGTTCTATAAGAGATTACCCCTTCTTCAAAGTGACCTCCAACATCCTGCTGACCCTTTCAAGTAAGTCTGGTTACTTCATTTTATTTGTTTTTACTTGAGAAAATTTAAGAAAATTATTTCTAAGTCAATTTGATGTAACAGTAGTGTTTTTAACTGGTAAAAATTGTACCTAAAAGTTATTTAAGACAATATTACTAGCCCTATTCTACCAATAATACTTAACCACTGACTATCCCTTTCTTCTTGATTTTCAATGTGTTTGTATAGCAAAATCATTAGCAATGAATTTACATTATACATATAATAGCTCTATTCTATCAGTAATGCTTGCATTAATACCTGACCACTGACAATCCCTTCTTGATTTTCAATGCATTAGTAACAAATTTAAATTATACATATAATAATCCTATTCTATCAGTAACTAGCAGCATGGTCCGGCATAGCCCGTGCTTGATTCAAAAATCGTACGACTCATACAGCAATCGTTATCACTTGACTTAAAATATTTTTGCCCTTCCTTGCCTTTAACGGAGTGCTCTTTGCTGTGCTGATGTTGCTACATGCCTTACTTCTTACCTATCTCACACTGCGAATTTTTTCTAAGCTCTATACTAAACATTAAATCTGTTATGAAAAAAGAACTAAACAAAATGAACACAAAACGATCAGCTTTAAAAAAGGACTCGAAACTGGAAAAACCGAATGAAAAAAGGATGTTAACAACAAATACTTTTCACACCCAACCCAGTTCTGCAGAATCAGAATCAACGTTGAGTTTAAGCAAGCGAATGAACCAATTGGAGTAAAGTGCCATGCAGATTTAAATTTTTCCCCTTTGTGACGAATGCAGCTATTGATTTTTTTTTTTTTATTATTATTGCATGCTAGCTAAAATTCGTGTCAGTCAGCTGTTGGCTCTCATGCTGGCCAATAGAATCTTCCTGCCTATTCGTGGCAGCCAACTATAGGCTCTCACTCTGGCCAGTACAAAATGGCCGCAAACTACATGAAAACTGCCGTAGAAGCATGAAAAAATTGATTATTTCCACTATCGATGGAAGTTGGGAAATGCAAAGTCAGTCTTAGCCTTCCCACTAACTTGGAGCATGTGCATGTAAATTTTGGTGCAAATCCGTCGAAAATTGCAGCCATGCATTCGTTATATACACACACACACACACACACACACACACACACACACACATCCTGCCTTTTATAGATAGAGATGCATGCATTAATTTCTAATCACTGACAAATTGATGGGGGAGGCAAAAATTTGTAGGCCAAATCTGAACCTTTTTCAGAAGATAGAAATCAATTAAGCATTAATTTTAATATTTTAACTAAAATTAGTTAGTTTCAACAGTTACTGAATGTTCTGCATTGGAAATTAAGGGAGAGATTGTCAGTGACCAGGAGTTAATGCATTACTTATGACTTTAAGAAAAATATATTGTAAATGATTTTACAATAAATAAAAATTCTTGAAAATCAATGATTGTCTTTGGTCAGCTACTAATGCCAAGTTTTACTGATAAAATAGGTCTATTATCAGTGTAGTAATATTGTTCTTTAACAAATTCCATGTACAATTATGGGAGTGTCATGAATTAAAGCAATAATTATTGACTGTGGGGATCTTATACATATTGTAAATTATTTTACCATGAAAATGCATTGTAAATTAAGAAAAAGGTTTTGTCAGTAATCAGGAATAAATGCATTCCTGATTGAATAGGCTTATATATTGAATATAAATACAATGCAAATGATTTTACTATATAAATGCATTCAAATAAAAAAGAAAGTTATTGTCATTGATTAGAAATTAATGCAAGTATTACTCATAGAACAGCACTATAATGTTTTCTACTTGAAGATCTTGTAGTTGATTATAAGTTAGATGGCTGGTTATACCTTTCCATCAATATCACATGTAACTAAATAAGAAAATAAACACATGAACAATATGTTGATGTCTCACAATACTTCAAACAAAAGGTTAGGAAGGAAAACCCCATCATTACTGGAAAGAGCAACAACAGCTACTGGACTTGAGAAACTTATTTTAGTGAAAAATTATTTTAAGGGAAATATTTATAAATTTCAACCTACAGTAACACTAAATGCTTGGTTAAATAATGTCAAATGTTTCATTATAAGGAAATGGCTAACATTATCATTACAATTATATGTATAATGTAAATCCTCTGAAAATTATTTTATTATACCAATGCATTGAAAAATACAACTTAAAGCAAATTTTACTGATAAAATATGAGTATTATATGTCAATGTAAATACACTGAAAATTATTTTATTATAGCAATGCATTGTTAAATAGAACTTAAGACAAACTGTCTTGGTGCTGGTGCAATGAGATTAAGTACTTATAGGAATCTCATAATTCAATCTGTTACTGCTCAGGAGATTTCTCTTCAGGTAAAGATTCAACTGCAAACACCATGAAATACTGAAAGAAAAACAACCACTTCATGTTGTATATGCTAATAAAAAAAAAATGCCCTTAATGTTAAGGAAATTCAAAGGTGACTAATGTGTTCCAACCTGCCTTGTGTGTTATCCAACCAGAAATTGCAGTAGATATAAGTCCCACCAAGCTTCTTTTCTAAAGCAATACTGCAGAGTTAGTCAAAGACCTACTAAGTTGTTCTTTTCTGATTTTGTTCTTCCATCCAAAATATGGTGATTACCATGTGACTGGTGCAGCTTGAATTATGAGGTCCCTTATCAGTACTTAATCTCCTTACACTGGCCCTAAGAAAGCTACACAAATATTACTGGCAGAATACAACTATTATATATAATATGTTTTGCTTATAGATTTATTATAAATTCATTGAAAATCAGGAAAAAAGACATTATTAGTGGTAAGAAAATAATGCAAATGATGTTAAAATAAGAAATTTATGAATATTTTTCTTTATAATTTCTTATACTTTGGTATTTATTCATTATTAACAAAATTTGAATAATTTGATCCAACTTGGAGAGTCCCACAAACATTACTATTGGTTAGAATTTCTGTTTTACTGAAGTAAGTGTAGCATTTGATCTTTAAATAAACTATTTTATCATAATCTCTTCATAAATCAAATGCTAATTGAAATGTTGAAAAATAACCAAGGTGAGTTTCTAAAATAAAAAGATCATAGATAATATCAGCTACTTACAAAATTTTCTATGTATCTGTTTGTTTATCAACAAATATTATGTATTTTCTTTCTTTCTCTGTAAATTTTTATCACATTAGACAACTAGAGAATAAGAATTAAAATTATTAATTTATTTACCTTCAATCTTTTTTTTATGGAGATGTTTTTTCAATTCACCCCAAGTAAAATGATAATAAAATTTCAGAGTTTAAACAGAGCTGTCAGAAGTATAGAGTTGTAGACTTTAGAAGGAACCAGAAACCCAGTCCTAAATAGAAAACAAAGTATAAACCTCTATTCCTGTTCAAAAGACTGAAGAAAAGTGTGAACCAGACGATAGGTGAACTTATCTACTCCTATCAAGAAAAAATAAATAAACAGTAATTAAAATTTCAGAACTTAGGTTGAGACATTGAAAGTAAAGAGTTGAAGTTAGACTTTAGAAAGAACCAGAAAACCCAGGGGACAAGGGATAAATATCTACTCCTGTTCAAAAAACCAGGGAGGTGGGTAAATGGGGCAATGGGCAAATCTATCTACTCCTATTGAAGAAAAAATATCATAATCATGTAAACAAAGATGTAACTAAAAATAAGATTGTTATATTCACAAAATGACAAATATTTACTCTATAGGAGAAATTTCTTTTATATCAGGTCAATTATTACATATTTCTTGCTTTTGGAAATTTAACTTTTATCTGAAATTAGTTTAGTTCCTTTCAGATATTTGTAAATTTCTTTTCTGATACATGCTTCCTCTAAAAATGTGTAAATTATGACTCAACTTGCTGTTTTAATTTTTGTGATGGACTTATCACTATTTACAGTCAACGTAATTTCCTAATCTTAATAATAGATTGGTTGCATAGTAATTGTGAGTTCAATCCCTGGATTAGGCAGTACAGAGTTAGTCTCAGTCAGAACAACAAGTAATAAGAACAAGACAAGATATACCTAGATGTATATGAAGGCTACCTAGATTGAAGGTACAACAACCAAAACAAGATAATAACAAAGATGAGGATATTAGTCTTATTAGATAAATGATTACAAAAAGGTTAATTATATAAATGATTACAAAAACAAATGTTTTATTTATTTTTAGAGAAAGCATTTTATTCATTGTACTTTTTAAGGTTGTTGCTTTTTTTAATGGTTACCTTTTGTTATCTATTTTTGTTATAACTCGATTATAATATTATGTCTTGCTTAGGCACTTGCCATGATGTCTGTTAGAAATTCTTCTTGACTGATTCCAATGGACTTCTCCTAACTCATCTTGAGTTCTTTATTTAAGGCATTTTTCCCAGTTCATTTGTGTTACTGGGAGTGTCTTATTTATTCCATAACAATTTGTTGCTTTTTTTAGTTGTTAATTTTTTGTTCCAGTATTTGTTGCTTCTTTAGTGCTTTTGTTTCACTATTATTTGCTTCTTTTTTTTTTTTTTTTTTTTTTCTTTTTTTTTTTTGTTACTTTTAACATTTTTAAGCTTACCTTTGTCTGACACAAGTAAATAAATATGGAGAAGACTGGAATTGAGCTCACTATGCTAAGAAATTGATCTACAAAATGAGTTTAGCAGCCATAATGCCATAGTTTCTAATTGTGTGCCTACCTTCTAGTTAAGAAAAAGTTTACAGCCATATCACATTGAAACACTGGTTCTCATACAATCACTGAAGTTAAGCCTGGTCAGTACCTGGATGGGTGACCAATTAAGAATACCAGGTGCTGTAAGCTTGAATGTACAGATAGTGTAATGGATAACAGCTCAGAATTGGAAATCAGGGAGTTGAGTTCCAATTTCAGTCAAGTTCATTATATTCACAAACACATGAATATCCTTGGGAAAGGCATGAATCCATCTTTTCTTCTGTGGATTAATTAGTAGGACTTGTATTGGTAAATCATTTTTATCTCCAAAAAATTCTTACAATCTAAAAGTATTTTCTAGCTTTAAATCACCTGCAAAAGGTTCATAAGCTGTAAAATCAATCAGTCATTCAAGTTAAGATTGAAATACAGCACATATTAATTATAAAGATTTAAGAAAATTAAAATTGATGAATTAATCAACTGCTGCAATATTTTTTAATATTTTTATAGTTTTAATCATTTACTTATTTTTTTTTGTATTTCAGGAGTCCTGTAATGGCTGGGGGACTATTTGCCATTGACCGAAATTGGTTTTGGGAACTTGGTGGCTATGACCCTGGTCTTGATATCTGGGGAGGGGAACAGTATGAGCTGTCTTTTAAGGTATGTATATAAGAACCTGATATTTTTATTTTAGTGAGATCTGAACTTGGATTATTGAAAATATATGGAATTAAATTTTTTTTTATTAACTTTTATTAAGTATTTCTTTCATCCTAATTTTTGCTGATTCTTATTGCAACTCCCAGGACTTCATTGTACAATTATTTACCCATATCCTCTTTGCATCAGTTTAAATTAACACATATTTTTTTCATATATCTAAACTATAATTGCATGATTTTGGAAAATGAAAATTTCGCTGAAATATGTTGGGAATTTTCCCAGTTTTCATGCGAAATCAAAATGGCCACAACACATAGAAAAAATGATGTTTCAGTTTAAATTAACACCTGGAGGATATGGTTGTGATAAGCAATGTGGATCAGTAACTATAAATAGAACTGCACTATGGAAATGTGTTACTGATTAGACTATAAAAACCAACTAGTATAAGTTATCCAATAGCTATATAACTATATTCTTTATTTATTCAAATGCCATTTTCTTAGTTGAGTCCTGTTCTTAAATAATGAGACTTTTGGAGTGGGCACAGCATCAAATTCATTCATAACTATCTAAACTATAAGCTATATACAACCACTTTCTAAGATCAATGGTTAAAAATAGCTTTGATCAAGTAAAACTTGTGGATCTTGGCAAAGACAATCTTTTTTTTTTTTAACCTTGTGGTCTGGTGCTGCATAATCACAAACAAAGAACTGTATTTATCTATCAGAAACTATTCATCATTTGAGGACTTTCAACAGTAATAACAGCTAAAAGGGATATCAAATATAACTCAGAGAAAATAATGACATCATGATGTTGATGTTCCACACTACTTCAAATAAAAGGTTAGGAAGGAAACCGCCTTGATACTGAAAAGAACAATAACAACTACCGGACTTGATGAACTTATTTTTATGAAAAATCTATTTTAAGAGAAAGACTTTAGAAATTACAACCAAAAGTAACATTGGATGCTCAGTCAATGAATACTGAATGTTTCCTTATAAGGAAAGGGCTAATATTACAATTACTATCTTGCATGTTTATATTTTACACTGATACTCATCATTATTTTCTTTTGAGGAATCATTGGCTCCTTCTCTAATCAAAAGTTCTCATTTCTTATAAGGATCCAAGACCTTTATTTCTTAATCATCATGTTAAAAATAGAGCAGCCTAATAATTGATATTAACCCTTTAGCATTTAACTCACTGAAACCAACCCTGTAAATATTGGCTCTCAAAGTCACACTGTTTGTGGTCAGTCACACTGTTTGTGTGACTTCCAGTATTATTTGCAATGATGTTGTCATATATCATGGCAGAGTATATGGTGGGTTACAGTGGGTTGAATATTGATAGCTGATATTAATGGTAAAGTTTCAGGTAGATTGAATATTAAAGGGTTAATATATTTTAATATTGTTATGGGATATATACATACAAAAAATATGTTAGTAATACCAATTGTTAATTTCTGTCAATAATTCTTTTTTTTTTTTCTTTTTTTTACATAATAATGTTGGGATATTTCTTCTGTCCCAACCCTAAAAAATTACTTTATACTTAAAAACACATCTAGTGATTATTGAAGGTTTCTCATTAAATAAATATAGAAAAAAATACTTTCTGCAAAAATACGGTTGTGTTGGGTAGTTATTTAATATATTCCTAAAGAGATTTTTGCTTACAAAATATTATTCTCTGAAAGTATATGACAGGCATGGGCAACCTTCACCGACTAGTAAGCTGCATGAGATATGGTTCATTATAAGGTGGGCCTCATTACTAAAAAAATATTCATTGTAATTTTTCATTGAATGTACTTCAGCCATTTTCACTAAAGAGCTTCTAAGGGAAAAGGTTGAGTTTTTGGGGGCTTTCTTTTGGTGAAAAGATTTTTCTAGAATTAAAGAATGAAGATTTGGCATAATATTATCACACACTGCTGCATGTGATTTGTTTCTAATTTATTCATTTGACTATATAAGAACTAATTTAAAAAAAATATATTTCTCTTCCATAGAAAAAAAAATAATGAATATTTCCTGTTTCTAAAGCTAAATATGTTTATATATATATATATGAGTTTCCTTAGCTATAGTTTAAAATACTGAAAATATCCTCAATGAAAAGTTATTAAATTCAGGAAACATAGTACTTAATCATTGTTTATTTATGTGGTTATGTATGGGAGACAGTGAACAAATGAAAATGAAACAAAATTTTAGTAAATGTTAAAACCATTTGCAACAGTTTGCTCATGACTGATTTAAGAAATTGGATACAAGTCCCTCACCACACAATTTTTGTTGAACTTTAATAAAAAAAAAAAAAAACAATAGCAGAAAACTTTGTAATGTGATTTGTTTGCTTTTTAAAGTGTTTTCTTATCAATACTTTTATTATTTGCAGATTTGGCAATGTGGGGGTGAAATGGTGGATGCTCCTTGTTCCAGAGTTGGACATGTATACCGAAAATTTGCACCTTTTATAAATCCTGGTGTGGGTGATTTTGTTGGAAGAGTGAGTTTATTTATATTTCAAAGTTAATATTTATAAATATTCTTGAAAACTACTATAGAAATGTAGTATATAAAACAAAATGTTTATAGGATCTGACTGAATTCAACCTTTTTACTGACTCAGTCATTACATAATCCTATTAAAAAATATGTATAGCTGGTCAATCATATTCAAGCATGCCTATCCCTATTGCAGATGCCAGCTCAGGCACATTTGTACTTCTTTAACACCCATAGATCCAACCTGTGGTTTATACTTCAACTATACTGAGTATATAATTTTGCATGATCAACAGTTTGAAAATCACAATGATTTGTGATTTTATGCTAGCACAACAATTGATAGCTTCCAAACAATTTTGTCTAACCAATTCCACTCACAAGACTTGAGTTAACCCATGGTTTGGTTTCAGAAACTCTCCAAATGTGCCATATGCTAGGATCATCCCCTTAGGCTAATATTATCAAGAAGTCACATCCCTAATAAATTTACCATAGTGAGATTCAAATTCAGGACTCATGGTTGGAATGTTAATACTCTAACCACTCAGCCATGCTTCCAAATCAAAGAATATATTTGACTATTAAGTTGTATGTTTTCATACCTATATTTTCTTTCTCAGCTCTTCTTCATCTCATTAAATGGTGATCTAGCATATTAAGTTGATGTAGAATAAAAGTGATGCTGTGTAAATATCTCAATACAATTTTATGTACAATTACTAATTCCTGAAGAGAATTAAATTGGGTTTTATTTATTCAATAATTATAAAATGGTATGTGGAAAAGTAATTTTGAATTTGTAAAAATGAAAAAAATATAATTTAATTTCAGAATTATCGACGTGTTGCTGAAGTATGGATGGATGAATATAAAGAATATCTATATCTACGACGTCCCCACTATAGAGATATTGACCCTGGAGACATGACCGCACAAGTAGAAATTAGAAACAGACTTAAGTGTAAACCCTTCAGTTGGTTTATGAAGGAGGTGGCCTTTGATTTGCCAAAATTCTACCCTCCTGTGGAACCACCAAATATTGCAGATGGTGAAGTAAGTATTCCTGAATATATTTGGCTTGTGAAAATTTAATCATTTTTAAGAATTTAAAAGCATTAAAATATTTGTTTATACAGAGCATGGCAGAAAATGCCTCCCATATATACCTCCCACATAATGGTAAGAAATTAGTTACATGAAGTCACTAATGTGTTACCATTATATGTGAAATATTTCTGCTACATCTTGTATTAATAATACAAGCACAATAATAAATATTTTACCTATAATTCTTAAGGACATATTTTGGAGTTTTCTCAAATTTCGTAATAGTTGTTAATACATAATGTATATCTTGGATTAGGTGTGACATCAAAATCCAAAGGTACATTGTGATAGTTAAAGATGCCTCCCAAAAGCTAAGCAAAGTATTAAGAAACAGGAAAATTTCATTAGAAACAAAGAAAATAGTACTGAACTGTAACATCAGTCCTCTTATATGGCAACAAATGCCAGACAATCTCATCACAAATGAAGATACTTGAAGCAACAGGAATGTGGTTCTACAGAAGGTTGCTGAGGATACCATGGACTGAACATGTAAGCAACAACGAAGCTCTAGAGAAAAAGAAAACAAAAAGGAAGATGCTTATGCTTAAAATCAGAAAGAAAAGTTGAAATTTCTAGAGCACATAATGAGGAAAAGGGCTTATTGAAGGCAAGATGGACAGAGAAAAACAGTGCACAATATATCTAATGAACATATGTAAGCAGTTGATTAGGAAAGATAGCAAAAAACACAAACTTTACTCAGAGCTGCAATTGTAGAGAGACACAATTACCCATGTCCTGAAGGGACATGTCATATAGAAGAAATCTTGGAACTAAGCAAGCTGCTGTACTGTATATTATTAATATCTATAAGTAATGTGAAACACATTAGTCACATCTGCAGTAAACCTTATAGATATTCACATTGATTTCTATAAAGTAATAAATTTTGTGAGTAAAGACAAAACAAAATTAAAATACTTTTTTTATTTCCAAAACATTCAGTAAAAAAGTTCAAACTAGACGTTTGCACTGATATATGTTCACTTCATCTTTTTCTTATAAATTCTTGTGTGTGTGTCATTATGTATTTGAGTACCAATCCCTCTTTTATACAAGTTTCATTAAAGACAGCTGGCATGGCACTGCGATTGAGCTTTTTATTTAATTTTTCTTGTGTTCATACAAGTGTTTTTTTTTTTTTTTGGACACAAAGCGTGTAAAACTGTCCAAAAGTATACCTACTTGAGAGCTGTTTTCTACTAGTAAGTTATAGATGGAGTTTGGTAGGCTTCCATGTGTGTTTAAATGTATCCTAATTGTGCTATGATCAGATAGGTGTAATGTGAGTCATCTACATAGGCATGTCTCAAAAATTAAATAAATAGCTTAATTACAGTGCCTTGTCAATCATCTTTAATGAAGCCTGTGTGTGTGTGTGCAGTCAGGTTAGGCTTGGCATCTGAACCAGCTTTTCTGCTGTTGAGGAGGGTTGCATGTCATATATATATATATATTTTATTTTGTATGTGTAGTACTTATTGGAAAGTGCTCAATATCAGTGATAGAGCTAACATATTCAGTTGTATGGTTGTGGGGTTTTCAAAAGTGTAGGAGTTTCCTTCTATAATGATATCACAAACCCCACATCATTTCTTGTTGCATTTTGTGACCCCACTCAAACAAACTATAGCATATATCTCAACATACAACAAGAACAATCCAGAACTATTTATAGAAATTACAAGAAATCTAGACCTACTTGACAAGAATGATGAATTGAAAAATATGCTAAAAACAATCAAAATAATTAAAAGCAGACATCAATTAAAAAACATATATTAACCCCATTTGAATTAAGCCAACACACAATACAGGGGATCATGTGAAATATAACAAATGGAAGCAGGAGATACATAACACACTAAAAAGGACCAACCTCTCAGGAAATAAAAGTGATTTTCACTGTTACAGTGCATTTCTTGTTTCATTTGATTGTAATATAGGGAAAATATTTGTGAATATGAAAGGATTATGCTAAAAATAAGCAGACATAGTGTTTGTAATTTATTTAATCAGATATGCATGATATATTTATGTGTGTGTGTGTGTGTATATATATATATATATATATATAAACTTGGTCAAACTTTTTCCATTAGTTTTATATTTACCCAACTTTTGTTTTACAACTACTTTTCCAGATTAGGAACAAAGCAAGTAATTTATGCCTTGATACTCGGTTCCGAGGTCCAAATGAGCGGTTCCAATTAGAGGCCTGTATCAAAGATGGTCAAGGACAAGGAGAACAGGTAGGTCTTTGAGAAAATTAAATATTTTCAGTTAAAAATACTTTCCCAATCATAATGTTAGGAAATTATCAAGATTACATTATTCTTTTTTAGTTTTTTATGTCTCAAAATCTTGTTAAAAACCTGACAAAAAGTTAGAGAAAAACTAATACTAAAATAATAATAATAATCTGTTATAAAATTCTCTGTCCATTATACACTGTGTTCATGCCATTTAATGTATGCACGCATACACACTCACACATACATGCACAATTTGACTGAATTTAAAATGACAATAGGTAAGCAACAAAAATTTAGAACAAATTTGGAAACAAAAAAGAAAAAACTTAATTCTTTAAACCCTAAAAAATCAGTTAATTGTATAAATTATTTTCAGATAGAGTGTAACTGTAAAATAAAATGAATAAAAAGAAAAGAAAAAAAACTATTCTTAGTCAATACATTTCATTTTCTGAGGGACTTTATCAGGGCAAATGTAGGATTTATTTTGTTGTATGTGTTTATATACAAAAGTAAGGATGTCATTGCTTTATCAAGGTTTTTAAATTTGAGAATTAAGATATAACAAAAGTAATAGTAAGATAATAATTTATTAGTATCAATTCAATTTTAATTAAAATTTCACTATAAAATGATTGATTCAAAACAACATATCAACTTTTCATCAGTCAATTATTGTCATAATTATAGAGGTTTTTTTATGATTATTTTATGAAGTATTTTATGAAGTTATTCATGCATACAAGTTGTCTACAGAATGTATTCAGCCATTTTGAATATCTTGAGGACCAATTGCCCAGACGATGTAATTTATCAGCCAATTAGAACAAACACTATCCTATGAGGTTGAGTGAGTTTGCCTACTCTGTGACTGTTACATTAACAGGGTTTATCAGTAAAACCTGGGCCTCTACACAGTTCAAACTTAGTTCCCTGATCTTCTTAAAATTAAAATTGTTGTTGAACACCATGGATGAGATTAGGAATGTAAAAAGGTAACTAATGACAGAAGAAATGCAGACTTTTTTAAAAGTAAAATGTATACAAAGATAAGTTTGTGTATCCCAGGGGAAATAATTTGAGTTAGAATAAGTTTCCATTACCCTTGGTAGACATTTCTTTCTTTTTTTCTTTTTTTTAATATATTAAATGTTTGGATACTCTAAGGACACACTCTTTTTTTTTCATAGAAATATCTCCTTATTATTTATTTTTTGTTTCTACAGAAATTTGAATTAACTTGGCATAAAGATATTCGTCCCTGGAAGCGCAGTGTCTGTTTTGATGTATCACAGACAATCCCAAAGGCTCCAGTAATTCTTTATACCTGTCATGGCATGCAGGGAAATCAAAGGTGGAAATATAATTATGTAAGTATAATACTTTTTTTTTTTTTCTATCTCTCCTGTTGTTTCAAATTACTACTGAATTAATGATTTCACCTGACCAATCATGGTCATGTAAATCTTATCTGGTTTCCATCAGCATGGCTAATGCTAACCTCCTGGAAAGCAACTCTTTGTGACATCTTAGGCTCACATTTTACACTGACATGAAATAATGTGATTATATTGAATCAATTGCTACATCTACTGCTAGGAAATTTGGCTGTCATACCAGAAAATTTTTCTCATCAGAATAAATCTTACACATTTATTAATCTCTCATTCATCCATGCATCTAATATTGCTGCTATATGTGGTCTGATGCACCTGCTATATATCTCAAGAGTCTTGACAAAATCCAAAGTATGATCTGTAATATAATTGATCCTGACCTGGCATCTCAACTTCAGTCACTGCTGTAATGCGGCTTCCCTCTACCTTTCTATAAATATTTTTATGCCAACTGTTTTAAAGAGCTTTGTGCTTGTGGCAAATGATGAGACTGAAGAAAATACCTTTGGATGCTTAAGGTTTTATTCAACTCAAAAAGGCACATGAGGTGTAAACAAAGATGTCAGTTTTAGAACTCTTCTATGAAGGAGAATGATCCCTTAATAAAGGCAGATAACTATAATAATAATATTATTTTATCACAGTGCTTCAGCTGCTTGAATTTAAGTGCACTACTATATTGGAAACTAGGTCTCACCATTTTACTGTTGTACTGGCTAGATGTAACCATAAGTTCTATTCTAATTGTTTCTTTTCTTGCACTTCTCACCTGTGGAACTCTCTTCCAATTTCTTGCTTCCCTGCCATATACAATTTTCAAAACTCCATCTTCTGTCTTCCTGCAACCTGTTCTTTTATTGTCCTTTCTTTTCACTAAAGTTTTCTCATTCTCTTCCAATCCCAGTAACCTCTTGAATCTGCATGTCATAATCACCTTTCTTGGGGTGAAATGATTAAAAATATATATATATATATATATATATATATATATATATATATATATATATATTTGTCTGTAAATTAACTGGGATAAAAATAAACCCTAAAATTACTGGCATACTTTTTATTAGTAAATCTATTTCAGTAAAGATTTTCAAAATTTTGAATTAGAGTTTGTTGTTAGATCATTATCTGACAATATAGATTTCAGTTTTTCTAATATTAATTTGCTTTTGAAAATTGCTGCTTGTATTGAATTTTTTTTTTTGTATATTTAATTCTAAGTTCCTTCAAGTCATGATTCATATCCTGCTTCTTTATTGCATGTAATTTGCCATGACTTCTTGGAAAATATGGTGTGGTTTCCTTCTCAACAGTTTCTTTAACAGTATTCCTTCTATTAGACTGGATGCCACTCAAAGCTAGAGAGACTAATCTACTCTGCTATTTAACCCATAGTTTGGAGATTGAAAAATGAGATGAGTTTATACCTTTGTGATAAAATGAATGCAACTGATTTAGACAGAATTTGCATTCAGCTTACTGAGTACCCTTTCAGCACCAATAAACATCACACTAACTGTCCATCATTACTTATATTACAAATTGTTTAACAGATTTATTAGACCAAATTTTATTTGCATTAATTTTGATGAACTAATATTATCAAATCATTTATTACTAACTTTAATATAACAAAATCATTTATTTATTACTGCTATTAATTAACTCAATCCAATAAATACAGAAATTTATCAATAGATTCGCAGTGGGAAAAATGCAGTGGAAGTGGGTTTGGTTATAAGTATATTGAAAATAAAATGCATGGTTACTAATAAAGATAATGCTCCTTTCAACATAACAGTCTATGGAAAACTAATTCAACAAGTAACTGAATTTAACTATCTTGGCTACAATATTTCATTTTTGAATAAAAGTTCCTCTTCAGTATAAAATAGGCCTTAGTTGTGCAATGTTTGAAAAGAAGAAATCTTTCCTAAAACCTTCTCAAAACCAAAGCTAAGATCTGCAATGCATATATTCTCTCTGCAATGCTTTACCACTGGACTATAAAATCTCTTAATAAAATGGAAACATTCTAGAATCACATCATGTGATTCATGACCAGATTGCATAAAAGGATACAGACACTTCTGGATACAATTGGTCTAACGCCAATCATCCATTTAAAAAAGAGTAAATCCCTTAAGTTATATGGTGTCTCATCAAACTACATTAAAGGGGGATGGTTGCTGAAAAAAGAAGGGGAGCTGAGCAAAGAAGGTAGCATGAACTTGTATAATATAATCTTAATAGGAGTAAATAGTTTTATCTATTGCCCAGTTCGCGCTCAACGCTGGAGAACAGGAGAAGTTTATCCCTTGTTTCCTGTTTAGGATTGGGTTTCCAGTTCCTTCTAAAGTCTACTTCAACTCTATACTTCTAACATCTCCTCCTAAAACTCTGAACTTTTATTTACTATTGAGTTACTTTTTTTTTTATCAATACGAGTAGATAGGTTCACACTTCTCTCCGGTCTTTTGAACAGGAGTAGAAGGTTTATCCCTTGTTTCCTGTTTAGGATTGGGTTTCCAGTTCCTTCTAAATTCTACTTCAACTCTATACATCTAACATCTCTGTCAGAACTCTAAAAATTTATTCACTAATTATCTTTTATTTTTCTCCTCAATCGGAGTAAATAGCTTCACTTATCACATAGTACACACTCTGCCCTGGCCTTTTAAACAGGAGTAGAGGTTTTCCATTGTTTACTATTTATGATTGGATTTCCGGTTCCTTCAAAAGTCTTTTTATTCTCTTTCACTCTTAGTGGACCCTTGCATCTAAGTGGCATTATCACCTTGCTTGTGATGAATTAATTAAAAAAAAAAAAAAAAAAAATCTTCTTTTTCTCATTTCCTTACAGCTAGCTCAGTGTAAAGAGTTTCACTTAAGACTATAAATAGCCTTATGCATTTCAATATCACTACTGATACTAAAATTTTATTTTTCAAATATTTCCAGTATTCTGTATTGCATAAACTTAACAAAATTAAGAGCAACACTTATGGCATCTACATGATATGACATTCCTAGAATTTCAGTAATAATGACAACGGTAAAAATAGCACAAGTAAAAAAAATAGGAAAAAATAAGTTTATTGAAATATATACTATTGGCAAAAAAAAGTTGGTTTTGAATTAAATCTAATTTTTAAAGAAATGAATATATATATATATATATATATATAAGACATGAAAATGTCTTAAAAATAATTGTCAGACTTTATCCATTTCATAACGTGTGACATCATTTGTTTACATTTGGATACACATTGAGCAGATATGAATGTACGTGAGAAAATCATGGAAAATTGTAGTTTAAAAACAGTAACATCGACCTTGTTAACTGAAATGCTCCTCTGTGGTGAAATTGGTAAAAGCACATCAGGCTATATGACGGTTCCATATAGGATACAGGTTCGATTCCTGTCATAGGATGCATATTTTCTATGACAATTTCTCAGACATTCAGGCCAGTAAATGTTGTTAATACTGTTTATTATAAACAGAGCATTTATTTAAATATTTGTATCTATAAAAAAGAATGTATAACATAAAAATGTCTTATATATATATAGCCTTTTTTAATATTAGCAAAAAAAAATGTAGAATTGTTTTACCTCCATTTGTTAATATAAATTAATTCATTTAAAATTTTGAAAACAATTTTATAATCAATATGTTTAGACACAAGCAAACCATTTTATATCAGCCCTTAAAAATTTGGAATAAAAATTCCTTGAATTTTCAATGTTAAATTTGTTTCGTTTTATATGAGACTTTTATTTATGAAACTTGGATTTTGTCAGCTATTAGGATAAGAGGCTGGGTTTTTGGCAATCCTGACTATCTTGATTCCTCTCACTACTCATGTTACTTCAGTTAAAAATTTATAATAATTGACTATGTTTCATCTAATAAAAATTAAAAAATAATTCTACTGTTTATGGTTGTAGTAGACTAATGCTCCAAATAGTTGTGAACAAAAACTAAAAGAAATAAACTAAAAATAAATGACAAAATCTGATATTTTTTGACCCTATTAAACCTGTTTTCTTACATGTTTTTAAATTAAAACAAAAAGTGTCTTTTTATTTAGTGTTATAAAGGAATTATCTTTTATTTTGATTCATTTTTTGCATTTTTATAAATTACTAGCAGTAGAGCCCGGCGTTGCCCGGGGATGTAACAGTAAGAGATATATCAAGTATCGACCATCATAAAGACTGAAAAATAAAATTGACAAAGATTATTGTTTAAGGTTGATGGACACGCATGTCTTAATTAGTTTTTTTTTTTTTTTTTTTTTTTTTGATTGGTCAAACCCAAACTCAAACAAAAACATTGTTTTCAATCGTTATGAGTCTATCGATTAAATAGAATTTTATTATAAACAATAGTCTTGTAAATGGAATTTTTAAAACATTCTGAATGTAAAAATAAAGAAAAGTGTGCAGGACAATAAGAAACACTACCTGCCAAAAAAAGTGAAGTTTTGTTGAAATCGGTTGAAAAATGTAGGAAATCCGATCCCATATATAAACGAACACACACACACACAAACAAGCTGGGTTTTATAATAAGTATAACTCGATATGAGTTGTCCCCCTTTCATTCTGGTGACAGAATCGTGTTTTCAAATTGATTTTGTGCAAAAAATAATTGTGTTTTTCCAATTTTTGACGCTGTCAGAACCACTGCAAGGTAATTTTACGTAGTCCTGTGAAGTTTTGTTGAAATCTGTTGAAAAATGTAGGAAATCCGATCCAATATATAAACGTACAGACACACACACACACAATCTGCGTTTTATAATAAGTAAGATATTTTATAAGTTATTTCTTTAATAATTAAATATTTCTTTTTGTTTTAGATTTATTGTTCTCCAAAGAAAAATAATGAATTTACTAGCAATAAAAATTTTACTTCTTTTCTATACAACTTTAATATCATATTATTTTTAATTACAT